AATTGAGTAGGACATATGTGCAACACCTGGACATCCTTGACAGATGTTTCACCAACCAGAAGTTTTGTGAATCTAATACAAAGACATTAGAATGGAGGCTTTTATAATATAGCCAGTGGAAGAAGTGAAGCAATGCAACAGTAAAAGACATGGTCACACGTGGGTGGGGCCCACTAGTGGAAGTAGGTCAAGCCCATCTAGATTCTACAGCTATTTAGAAATCAAGTTGTAGAATCTTGTATTATCCACACCAATATTTCATAGCATTGCTGTCAGACAAGTATCACTGGATCAAGGGTATACAATACTGACAGGATGATGAATAACCAATATCGTGGAATCTTGGCTACAGAGAATACAAAATTCTACAACTCTATCGTTAAATCTATGTCCCACCCAATGGGTCTAACTTATTTTCCATTAGTAGGAACTGCCTACATGCAACCACTTCTACTACTGCTGTATTGCTTAACATTATCCACTGGTACCACACAAATGACTTTGTCCATTTATAGCCTCTAGTGGGTGACTCTTTTCTGCACGTCTTAGTCATCCATATGACTAATCTTGCTGGTGATGGCTGAAATACATGACATCTAAACTGTTGTATCTGAGCACCTCTGCAAAGACAGTGATTATATGTGAATGATGATGAAAGTGTTGAATGACAGTGAAAGTGTTTCTTTCTTTTGAGTAGCCCGGCCTCGGTAGGAGAATGTTGACGTGTTGAGAGAAAAAAAATCACTTTTATACTACTGTGCATAAAAAAATACATGTAAGTTCATAAAAGATAAGAGGAAAAAAATAGATTTTCATGACACTATCAACAGGGAGAAGAGGTGACAGTAATAGAGCAGTTGGCATGGGATCTATAAAGGACAGTAGCTTTGTCTGAAATTAGTCTTTAACCCTTAAACAGTCCAAACGTATATACTTGCGCAGCGCCCCGAATATTTTGAAAAAAAAAATTATAGAAAAATAAGAACATATTTTTTGACATATTTTAGAATAAAAAAAAAATTAGGGTCAGTACTTACCGAGATATGAGGCCGAGAAGTTGGCACTGGATGTTCACGTGGCAGCAACATCAAGTCCTGCCGCTTGCAGAAGTGTTGCCGATATACCTTTTTTTTTATTTTTCATAATATTTTATGTAATTTTTATGTTCTGATAATTATTACAATTTGTAGTAGTTCTTGTCATTTTATAACCAATCTTTGTTCTGACACTAGTATTAGGCACTGAATTTGTACTCAAATTGTCACAAACACACTGACAGGTGGACATTTACACCTGCCTTAGCCATTTACTATTGTACTGGAATATATACAAAGTATTTATATGTCCCAGCAATGTTTTGGATATGTGGAAGTATGTAATAACAATGAGGAGGAGGAGGAGGAGAAAGACGAAGATGAAGAGGAGGAGGAGGAAGAGGAGAAGGAGGAGGAGGAGGAGGAGGAGATGGAGAAGGAGGAGGAGGAGGAGGAGGAGGAGGAGGAGGAGATGGAGAAGGAGAAGGAGGGGATGGAGGAGGAGGAGGAGGAGAAGGAGAAGGAGGAGGGGGAGGAGGAGGAGAAGGAGGAGGAGGAGGAGGAGGAGGAGGAGGAGGAGGAGGAGGAGAAGAAGAAGAGGAGAAGAATAATATGTAATAGGTAATACATATTTTA